ATTTCCAATAATCCTAGTTTTGCAAATATGATTGGAAATACAATTCAGAAAGGAGCCAACATGTTGGTTTCCTAAAAATACATCTTCCTTGCTAGTCATTTTCTATATCGATCCTTATTTCTTTTGCGAACCTAATGTATGATATTAGAGTATAGTAACAATTTGACTAGAGTTGATAAGGCCAAAGCATTTATTAATTGAAAATAAATATCCTTTGGACCTAGCTGATAATATCTCTTTACTGGGTAATTAATCCTTGATGACTCGAGTCAGGCATTAGGCTTTTGTGAGCATTCTAATTTAGGACCAGCATTGCGTGCAGACGTTAACGGACACGTATGCACCCTCAAGTAAAAGTACAATGACCAATAAGAAATTAAACTAGCCAAATCATTTTATATGTATCTATTAATGATGATATATCATAGTTTTCTTCAGTAATGAGTATATATAAAAAGTAAGATTAAGTCGGACAGTCTTCTTGACCTAGTGTTAATTTGAGACTTTAATAAAAATGAATTCCAGCTCTGATGATGTCCCTCATATGATGAACAAAGGCCCAGCCCGTGGACTATGTTAAAAAAACATCGTATGATAGTCAAACGGGTGCAGAACAACTGGAGTCGGCTACCCTCTTCCGATGAGATCAAAAAACAAATCCCTTCGTCATGCACTTGCATATGAAATGAAAGTCCCTCAAAGAAAGGTATATTAAAAGATTCATCGAGACCCAGTTACTCTTCGTGTCTGCCAAAAAAAAAACAAATAGAAAATCAAGATCTAGATTTATCCATGTTAATAGTGGTTTATATATTTTTAAAAAATAAACGATGGGTACAAGTAACACAGAGCAAATAATGGTGAAGGACAAGTCCCTTGCAAGAAATAACCATTATATAAAAAAGTTGGGTCTCAATGACTCGAAAAATAAGTAAACTATCTCTTAACAATAGGCAAATTTGGGAATTTCTTCTACTCAAATCCTTAAGAGAAACGTAAGATCCAATGAAATTAAAATTCTTTTCAATTTTTACAGCGACGGAGTTTCCACATTGAGTGTAGAACAGCTATCAAACGAAAAAAAGAGTAAATTGATTAAACCAGTTTCACTAGCCAACTCAGCCGAGACTCAGTGAAAAGTCTAGATCAAAGAGGATTTTGAATATTTTTTTTTAATAGTCCTTCATCACTTTAAACGAAATAGGATGAATACATCTCATATAACTTGAAGATGATCACCCGAATTCGTGAGATTTAAATAATCTAAATCCAATATAAAATTTGATATAATATAAATCCGATAAAGCTAGTAATAAAGTCTAGTTATCTCTAGATCATGAATAAATAAATGCTCATCATAATAATGAAATAAGGAATTCTCAAAATCAGGCCGACCTAATTTATGGATGCGGAAGTATGGTAATCTTTTAAATCAACAAAAGCCGGCTTTTAGTGCGCTCCCATTGTAGTCGGAAGTCCAAAATTACGAAGACTTTCCCTTGGCCGAAATCAACAGAACAAAGCAACTATGGCACTTCAAGATAAAATTTGCAAAATCTAGACTTTCTTTGCTCGTGGAGGATTATATTCAGCTACTCACAACAAATTGTATAGACAACTTTTGCTTGCACAACATTTTACGAGCATTCCTTAAGTTCAACGTATTCTTTGATCTATAAATTTAAATAGCCTCTCTAATCTTTCTTTTAACAACTGACGTACCATAATCAGTAAACCTATTCGTTTGAGACCATTTTAGCTCATGCCCAGTCGATGTCATGTGTCAGGCCACTTCTGACCGTTGGAACTAGCTTCCTTTACAAGCATTTTTGTGTTCTCTTAATCTTTGTCGAATAAGTCGGCATGTCTCACCAACATAACATCGACAACGTGAGCAAACAATCTTGTAGTAGCCGGATCTCGATAATTGATCATATTTCTTTTTTTAAAGATGTCATAAAAGAAGAAAAAGTGAGGCTTACTTTAAACACTGTTTTTATTCCCCAGTTTTTCACTAATTCACCTATCTTCGTAGAAAGAAGGCATTCCGGCAAAATTAGGACGAGAAAACGTCTCAGCTTGTCGCTCCTTTACTAAATAATCTGTCTGAACATGTATTTCTCAGCAGAGATATTATTCTTAATTAGGTCCGAAGGATAATTACTTTCCATGAATAAATTTGTCGGCCGTTCCAACTCTTTAGTTGAATGTTTTATATTTAAGGCGAGTCTTGCCATCCTGAATTTTAAGAAAGGCTAGGCTTCTTCCATGTCACTTTTATGTTGGGATTATGAGTAAGGCCATTTTTATTTAATAAATAAAACTGGGTTCATAATAATTTCTTAGTGATGTATTATGACATGACTTTCTATATTTCGAAGGAAAAGTTAATTGGTAAGAGTGCGATAAATGGTCTCATCGGAAAACGAAGGAACAGGATGAAGGAAGAATGTTATTTGGGGCGGAATAGAAATCTAGACCATGCTAATCTGTTCCTGATTTTGCCTGTCAGCTTGCGAAAAAAGTTTGGTGACCTTCTGAGAAAGTAGAACATCAAAAAAATGTATAAAGAGAAAATAACTTTATTCAGTCATGCCTTCTTACTGAAATTTTTTAACTCTCTTTCTAGATCAGCCTGTCACAAAGTTTTGTGCTCATTTGGAAATATTTTATGTAAAGGAGACCTGCAGACCCATCCAGAAGAGAGTAGCGAACATGAAATCGCTTGTAAAGTTCCATAGGTCGAAAATTGAGCCCGCAAAACACGTGGTAAAACGGGACACTGAACAGATTGGTCTAAAACACAACATTTTGCTGATTACAGGGAATTGACATCAAATGTAAGATTAGGGAGCCCATATAAATTAATAAAACTGCCATCATAATTAAACGAGGGCGACTTTAGTAAAGTGGGTATGAACTATTTATAGCTGTTGGATAGGCTTAAAGAGAAGGATAGAGAGGATTAGCCGAAAGGGCCACCTTGCTTGTCCTAGTGTAGGTTGACTTTGGTTAAGCATGGCTTTACACTCTGATGACGTCTGTTACATGAAGAGCGAATGCCCAGAACGGATTCACCGAGGTCGTGGGACGATGAGCCGAGGATTCATTCATGTACATTTGAAGTAAAAACTCCAAATAAATCTGCCTTATGCTGGTGAGGCCGATTTAATAATTTCTTCTATTCGTCGTTTCCAACAAAATAAAAGATATAACAAAATGGAGTATAATTAACTTTCATTTTTGTAGTGAGCTGAGATCTTTTGTTGAGTAGCATTCAATGGCACTGACATAAAGCAGAATTGCGTAAAAAGTAATACTTGTCATGCCGATTAATAGGCTGTAATAAAAAGCCGTCTTGGCTCAAACCTATCCAAAGGATGAACTTCAATAAATTAAAATTGCACTATTAATTTCAATAATTCATACCCCTTAATATAGTAAAAGAACCATATCAAACAAGGATAGAGAGATAAAAGTAAAAAATTTGAAAGCGAAATCATAAAATAATGAAAGTGAGACTACAGGAATTGTAAATCACCTCAAACTCTGATATGACACTTAGATGTCCCAGGGGTAGTATAGACTTCTCAGAGCTCTTTTGCGAAGCTCGAACTGTCCGGGTTTCTTCGCTCAAGCTCAATGGCTTCAGATGAGGAAAGAGCTGTTCCATCGCCTGTCGCATTTGCTTAGACGTCATTTCCCCGGGAGTATTACTCGGGCCTCCAGAATTTCGAGGGTGTTTGCGACGGACATGCCGTTTAAGGTAGGTTCGGAGACTAGCCTCCCAAATAGGCTTTACCGAATAGTATAGACGCATTGCAGCACGAGCGTCTTCTACAGAGCTATGCTCACCCGTCTACACAGTTGAAAAAGATAAACAAGTAGGCTTATATTGAGCGATCAATTACAATAGTTAAAGATGATAGCTAAACCTATCAAGCGAGAGATAGAATGGAGGTTGCTAGGCTGAAATACACTTATTTCAGAGGTTAAGATGTAAACAAAGTCGAATTCAGATGATCATAACTATAAGATATCTGAATTAGTGCAGGCGAAATGTCTGAGAATGTAACAAGTCCACATTCTGACGCTGGGAATTATTATAACGACTATAGAAGAGGACTTAGGCCAAGGTGCGTCTAACTAAGTCGCCCTAACAACAAGACCAAGTTGCGAAAA